CTCGTGGCGTATACTTAAATTTCCGAAAATTTTCTAATTGAGAATTTTCGTTCCATTTGATTTTTTCGAGAATTTCTGGAGTTTTCAGTTGAATGGTTTGCATTTTGGACATTCAACAATTCTCGGATTTTCTGGAAACTTTCCAAGGAATTTCTTTACCATTTGCCTCCATTTCAAAAGTCCCGAATATTTTGTTTGAATAGAAAGCGCCCTCTTTCTTTATAATAAGGACACCTTGTCTTGCTAAAGTTATTTTGGTTTTGGTTAATTTTGCATTCGAAAATTTCTGTTATCAGTAGCCTGTGAACAGGCTCCTGACTACGTTATAGGGGGAGGAAAAATGGCGAGCGGAGCTAGCCGAAGATAGTCAAGGGCGAGCGGAGCTTTCCGAGAGCGGTCTGGGCAGGGATCCTGTTCACGGGTTAGCAAATCAGAAGCAAAGATAAAAAGCTTTAAACCAATGAGGACTTAGCTTCCGTGAGTTTTCCCGCTCTTGGCGCGGGTTGAATGATTTTACTTCGGGTCCTGATTGGTTCATTGTGTGACAGCCATTTATTTTCCGTTTTTTAGCGAGGGTAGGATTCAAGATTGCTTTTATCTTTTTTTCTTTCTTCTATGTGTTCGACTTGAGCATATTCTTGTATTTATGGTGTAACCGTGTAGGTGTTTATTTGCCCTATTTTGTTATTTTTTGTTTATATGAGCCACCTGTTTTTTTCAGTTCATGGCATTGTCGCAATTATGATGCAATGCTGAACGTGATAAATAATTGGGCACCAATCCTCCCTCAGTGGATCACGGACAATATCAAACAGCAGTTAATTCTGCCTCGTCTGCAGGTCAGTTCTAGAATGAGATTGAAACTTGTCCCGTACGATTTCTCCGGGGCTGGGTATGTGCGCCGCCAAAGGGTATGATATTTGAGCCGTTTTGGTCTGAAATAGGGTATGGTATGTGCACGCTGGTCTTCAATAACTGTTTTTTACGATAATTGCTGAAATTCTCGCACGCTCATTGGCTAATTTTCATTGTCAATAAGCGGACAGACACATTTATTTCTTATTTATACGATGCGGCAACAAGCGAGAGCGGACAATTTGACAATTTGTTATTCTAAAAAACAAATTGACGTCAGTTTTTTATGCGTCTATCCTGTTATTGACAGTGAGTTTCGTCGTAACATTGTCAAAGTAGTCTGCGGATCCACTCGGCTATCGCCTCGTGGACCCACAGCTACTTTGACAATGTTATGACGAAATTCATGATCAATAACAGGACAGACGCATGAAAAACTGACGTCAATTTGTTAAATTCCAGTGTCAAATATTCTTTTGTTTAAAATGGTTTAGAAACGAGGCGAAAGGGTCAGTGCAAAGGAGAATGGACCCTTTCGCCTTGTTTGCATGTCAAACTGTTGAAACTGCGATAACAACTATTAGGTATGTTTTTAGAAGAAGCTAGTCCTTTATCATTATAATTAAGACCGTCAACAAGGAGAACTTACTTAATGTCATCATTGCCTTTTACATCGGTCTGTACTAGGGAACTGATTATAAGGCAGGTCTGATACAAGGTATTCATTTTAGAGCCAGGACTGAAATAGGGTATCCAATTTTGGGTCGGATCTGAAATAGAGTTGCGAAAATCGCAAATTTTGGTCTGAAATGGAGTGAGGATTTCAAAAAGCGTACCGCACACCCCCACCCAATATCTTTAGAAGTAGCACTGCTCCCCGGTGGGATTTCCTAACCCTGTCAAATGATGCTGGGCTTGCAGCCGACAGCGATGTTTTTGAGAAAAAAACCTCTGATCCCAGGAAGGGGAATACCACTGTCTTTTAACGATACAGATGAGGCAACATTTGTCCATGGTCGCCGCCGATACTCGGGTTCTGCAGTGTGCCCTTAAGAGTCAGTAGATAAAGGCTGGACAGTATAGAGATGCAATATTCTGTGATTAGATTGATTTTGTTGTGCTACGAGTGTGGTGGAATGGACAAATGTCCATCGTGACTTAAATGCTGGAGAGCATTCTTTAAAGGAGTGACCCATACGTCACGGTTTGTACATCTTGAAAACGGATTACGTTTGCAATCAGTGTTAATCTTCTCCATCCTTAACCATCCCTGTTCCTTTATGGTGTATTGTTATCTCTTTGGTGTTTTTCTATTTTAATAAACTTTCATTTTCAGGTTTCCTTCAATTTAAAGATAATTTTGTACGCGACCAAAATAACTCAAAATAACTGCTTGCTCTTGTTGACTCTTTTAGGTAGAAGTGGATGCGTGGAATCCACTAACAGACACTGTTCCTGTCCATGCCTGGATTCATCCTTGGCTTCCTATTATGGGTATGTTCTTCATTCCTTAATAAAGAAGTGAATAAATACAATTTATGTCCAAAGATTTGTATTGAAACATTTTAACGTTACGTTTTCTTTTAGGAGATCAGCTTGAGCCCCTCTACGCACCAATCAGATTCAAGTTAGCATCGGCCCTGACCAACTGGCATCCATCAGATCCCTCAGCAAAGATGATCCTGGAACCCTGGACCAAGGTACTCTTTTAAATGTTTATCAGCACCAGATGAAATAGGTTTCATTGGTCAAGTAATGTGGAAAACCAACAAAAAGATAAAAAAAAAGAAAACAACTCTATTTAAGTGTTAAATGTATTTAACGCTGTTGTAACTAAATAAACAAACATTTCAAATAGAACATAAACCTTAAGAATCCTGAGGGCTGACCAGTTGCCTTTTCACATAACGGGGTCGCGGATTTGAACTCAGGACTACCGAGAACAAACCCAGACAGCCGTAGGGTGGATTTGGAAAAGGGACAGATTTCAAATCCAGCACCTTAAACCACTCGGCCACGCCGGCTACTCGAACTGTAGCTTTAAAAGTTATCAGATCGCCTGTTTTTGTTGACTCGGTATTTTGTTGATGTTGTTGTTGACAGGTTTTCTCCAAAGGTACAATGGACGCCTTTATTCTTCGTTCTATTTACCCCAAGTTGTCTCAGTGCTTGTCAGAGTTCATCATCAACCCTCATCAACAACACTTAGGTATGTTGAGTAACGCTTCCAGTTCCAAACTCAAAATATAATTTTCTCCCTGAATACCGTAAAATATCGGTTGTGAGCCCCCCCCACGGATATAAGGCCCCTTCACTTTGTGTACCTCAACGGCTGGTATTTGCCATTATGAGAAAGCTTCATACAGTACCTTTGTGTTTCGCGTGCTTGTTTCCTTAATTGTGCCTTGTGTTTCTTGTTCCCAAGAACATAAAACATCTTTTTATACGGCTGGATGCTGGTTTCGTCAGCTTACTTTGAAACTTTTTGAACACCGCTTGTAAGCCCCCCCACCCATCCACCCGGATATAATCTTCCCCGTTTAAAAGCCCACCCAAAACCTCTTATGAAGTTGTAGAAGCTCAGGCACAGTATCTTGTATTTTCTTTATATTTTTATATTCTTTTTCATGTTGATTCTGATAATTTCCTGGTTTTGTTCATAGAACCTTTCCATTGGGTCATGGAGTGGAAAGACATTATAACGCAACAACATTTTATCAGTTTGCTGGAAAAACATTTCTTTCCACGTTGGATTCAGGTTTGTGGTCAGCTCTCTTTTCCCAATTGCCCATTCTCCTTCCTGAATGCAGTATCAAGTTGTCATTGCTTGTTATCTCTCTTTTCTTGAAAGGTTCTTCGCGGCTGGCTGAGTGTAAGTCCTAACTACGATGAAGTTATTCAGTGGTAAGTGAATTGATTCCGTTGGACTCCGCTAATTCGAACACAGTTATTCCGAATTACCCGTTATTTCGAACTCAAAACTATGGGCTTTTTCGAACTCCCGCTATTTCCAACAATTTTTCATTTTCCCCCAGAGTTTGAAAAAGCGGGGTTCAACTGTATTTCAGTTTTACAGTAAAACACGCCATACAGTACGCTCTCTTTGACTATGGGACGTGAAGCGGGGTCAAGCCCCTTTCGTGTGTACGCATAGGACGCATTTTGTAGGGTCGGGACAGTACGCAAGCTTGTGCACACGAAGCAGTTATTGGTTCATTTCTATGTTGTACCGGGGAAAAGAGGAAGAGCAGTGTACAAGATGCGACATTGAAAATTGAGGTCATTTTGTCCCTGCTTCATGACGCTCGAATTCAAACAAGTTGAATTTCATGCAGCATGTTGCGGGGACAAAATTTTGGCTCCGCAACAGACCTTTTCGCCAAAACGGGCATGGTACACGAGAAAAAGGGCGGCTGCAACAGTTCCTTTTCCTCGTGTCCTCTCAACATGTCTTAACTTTATCGGCACGTGGCCTCTCCGACTTTTTTGCCTCAAAACCTAGCTTGGTTTCTGATTGGCTCAGCCGTGAGAAAGCTAACATATAGATCGAGGAAAGACATTGATCACAGAAGTATCTCGAATGGCACTGACCTGCCAATTTAAGCCTTGTATATTCAGGTCACTGATTGCAGACGTTTTATTTGTAAACACTATTTTTGTCTCGCTAGGTATTCAGGCTGGAAGGGCATGTTTAGTGAGGATTTACTCAACAATTCAAGCATCAAAGGTTGGTCGCGGTCATCAAGATAGATTTGTAAAACACAGCAGCAAAGGATAACAAAATGGCGAACTGCAGCCATTATGTAGAATGTGATGTCACGCAACAATCTCAATATATCACGTTGTGTGACCACCCAGATAAGACTATAGGACAAACCTAATGCAAAATGATCGGAGTAGTTGGTAGTACAACATGTAAGAATTCTAACTAATACAGAATGCCTGCGCCTAAACGTGACAGGAAAAATGCTGACGGGACTTTCTTTTCTTGAATTTCAGTCCAGTTTAACCGAGCACTTGACGTCATGAACCAGGCTGTGACGTCACCAGGTGGCCTTCTGCAGCCGGGAGCCAAAGAGAACATTGCTTATCTAACCAGTACTGAGAGAAGGTCAGTTTTTGATCTTGAACCGATCAAATGTCTTACCCGTAAAGACTAGAAACACGGCACGTTAATGAGTGGGGATGCGGGAGGGGGGGGGNCGAAAGGGTTTCAAATATGCATTGTAATCTGAGTTATCGTAAATCAATTGGAGAAAACCGTGTCATTCTACCTCAATACATTTCTTGATCTCATCTATTACGGTTGATCTACGTGACTTTAAACCGTCTTTTGATTCGTTCTTGTTAATCTGCACCTCTTTTGTTCTTAGGGCTAGGGGCTTGTTTGTGTTCTTTGTCTATTGTTTCGTTGCACCAGTTATGAACAACCTTGTAAATAGTGCAGGTCGCCTAGTCTACTGAAGCTTGTTCCAGGCTGTTGGGGACTTGGTGCGAGCGAAGGGAAAATATGAGAGGGGACTGGCCATATTTTCCGCAATAAATTAATACACAGGGTTGCCACAGGTCAGGAAATGATCAGGGAAAGAAAATTCTTCAAGGTCAGGGAAAAGTCAAGGAATTTTATTTTGAGTCAGGAAAAAGTGACATTTTGAAGAAAAGTCAGGGAAAATTGAAATAATTTAACACGGCTGATTTAATACAATTAAACATTTGGGGTCACTGTGATCTCAACGATATTTTACCTTAATGAAAAAAGAATATTTGTTTTAAACTTATTAGTCTTAATATGAGTATAAAGGACGCGGGCTTTAAGTTGAGGCCAGAAGCCGCTACTAGATCTGACAGTTTGTATTTATTTGGAGAGGGAATTTTATTTTTATCAGGGAAAAGTATGGGAATTTTGAAAAGTGAGGTCTGTTGCAACAATGATACATCGAGGTTCCTTGAAGTAAAAAGATGCTATTTTATAGTGGTGAAATGACTTTAAATTGCGTAACATTGCCATGCAACGCTCAATTTTTATTGTTTGTTTGTTTGTTCTTTCTAGAAGAGAAGCTGAAGCAGCGGCCATGGCGGCGGCAGTTGAAAAACAAAAGGTAACTGATCCATATATGAATTCTCCTCATACATTACCAGACAATTTTTTATTTTTTGGTTCTGAGAATCTGGTTGCACGTCAAGACAATATTCACTGGCTTATGAATTTCTATATTCTCCTAACCTGCCTACTTGATAAAGTATTGAAAGAGTGAAGAGAAATCAGATGTTGATCATTTCTGTTTTGTACCACAGGCTGAAGCTGCTCGGCAAGTGGCGGCCTCTCAAAACGTTCCTTCCAACTTCAAAGACTTGATACAGAACTTGGTGAGTTTTTTTGTACAGTTTACAAAATAATTACTTCATTGAAGGCCCCGTCCACACTATGCCAGAGAAATTTGAAAACGCAGCTTTATTTCTGCGGTTAGGCCTACCGTCCACACTAATCCGTCACGAGAACGGAGCTTTTCGAAAACGCTCTTCAAAGCGGTGAAATATGAAAACGCTGACTTTGTGTTTTAGTGTGGACGGAAAACATTTTGAAAATGGAGCTTTTTGACAACGATGACATCGCGATGGGAATGTGATTATATTTCCCTGACCGAGTTTTCCCCAAACACAAATCCAAAATGACCGGTTATTGTTGCGTTTTCAAATTTCTCCGGCGTATTGTAGTGTCGACGGAAAACATTTGATGCGTTTTCAGAGTGAAACCCTCGTTTTAAAACTCCTCCGGCGTAGTGCGGATGCGGCTTAAGTGTTGGAGGATTTAGCATTAGTTCGTATACCCAATACCATCATGGCTATACTGACCAATCACGTTCAACGGACCAGACTTATAACATCATCAACTGACAAACACCATTCACTTGACTCTGAAGATGATTTCCGCTCAGGTTGTCGAAACGTCAGTCACCAACAACAGTTCTTTTCAGAACTACCCTCACCCGGACGATCACACTATACGAACTACTGATACTCCTGGATTCAAACCATTTACTGAGGATTTAGCATTGTTGTGCTAATTAACAACACTAATAAACAAACAAGTAGTGCAAATAGAACAAAAAAAAAAATTCTTGAATCATGACCAAAATCTGTAGTTTTCCTACCCTATTTATGACCTGACCAAAAATTCGATACCCTATTTATGACCGTTGCAGCTGTTAAAGTTGCCCTAAACATAAATTATGAAGGGCTTATGTTGATGGTCTTGTTGGTAATGATAAAAAAGTAGCTTCTTCTAAAAAAACTTACCCAATTCAAGGCTAGAGTGCTATACCCTATTTATGACCAAAACAGCTGAAAAACCATACCCTTTGCAATTTGGGGCCTCACATACCTACATAGCCCATGTAAGGGAGAACCCCCTCCCCCCGGAGTTTTAATCACGTTGAATATTTTCCTCTTTCCCTTTCTCATTCCCTCCCCTCCCGTTCTCTTGGAGAGACACAGCAAAGTATCATCGCACGTATTCCTTTGCTCTGTTTCAGGCTGAAGAGAACAATCTGCTGTTTATGCCAATTCCTAATCGACGTTTCGAGGGAAAAGCTTTGTACTCATTGGGCAAAGTAACGCTGTACATCGACAGAGGAGTTGTGTTTGCACAAACACAGGGCGTGTGGAAACCAGTATCATTACAGGACTTGATGATTATGGCAAAGTAATCGAGTTTTCGAGGGAAGCACAGATAAAGGAAAAAATTCTCGAAGAAAAGTCCTTTCCAATTCGTTGCAGTGTGCCGGATACTAGCAAAAAAGATCACAGCTGAAGGAAAGAGTTTGCCATGCGCTTCCGATTTTCGGCGTGTGGCAGACGGCGTCGGCGGAAAGACAAGAAGTAATTTTCGCGCCTTTTGGGTTTCCCGCCCTCGCGGAATGTTTCTCGCCATTAGTGTAACATGGACAGACGTAAAAACGAACCAGAGTGTGACAAGGGGAGATAGAGAGCGAGACAGATAGTGATAGCCGAAATCAGTTAGAAATAATGCTGTCTTAATAATATTGATCGCAAGTCAAAGGCGTCTGTGTATCATATCGAAGAGCCAACATAGCAGAAGTCTTAATACTATCCGACATCATTGCAATTTGACGTATATTTGACGTTGTTAGTATCAAATGAAAACAGAACGATGGTTGGTGAGTATTAAGGACATGCTGTTAATTACATTACTTCGCTCAGTGTGATGGTAGACTTGAAGGAGTCCTTTTTAGAACTTACCTGCTTGCTTGAACCTTAGGAAATGAACGTTTCAACGAAAAGAAAATATCTGACTCAAGCTCTGTTTTTCTGATTTAATAACAGACAAAAAAGAAAAGGTTAAGATGGTGACATTACGAAATCGATTCCAAATTGGGCCAGCCCACTCCCCCGCCAATTTCTTTGCAGTCCTCTCACTCCTGTGTGAACGGTTATCAAGAGGAAAGAAGCCTGGAAAGATGATAATCAACTAAGACCATCCCAAGAGGTCAGAGTAGCCGAGTGAAACGTGTCGGCACACTAATCACTAATGTCTGAGAACACAGAAGCTTTTTAAATCGTGAAATGTAAGAAGTATATAGGGCGTAGGCTTTAACACGCTGGCATCCTCTCAGAGTAGTTTACTGCCCCCATCATCTTTTGCCTGCGGAATCGCACGATAATGCATGTGTCACACGCCTGAGAATCGAAATCGTCGCTCACACGCATCACGCAAACAGGACAATTTCACACGCATGGCCCTCCGGACGTTTTCAGTAACGTGAAAAACTGAATTCATTGTCCACCCAAATAGGTCGGTGAACAGCGCTAAAAGTCACGTTTGAGTCCTAAATAACAAACCTAAAGATGGTGCCCAGATTTAGCATTTCACACCGCTACATTCGGCAACACATCAGGACATCTTCGGGAATCTTCAGCAATGTTCGGAAGTCTTCGGTAATGTTTGGAAGTCGTCGAATATTTTTCGGAATTTTGGGTAGTATGGATACGAAAAACACACGCATTTGACTTAGGAAATGTTGGCCGACCCCACTCCCATCCCGAACGGGGCCTTAGGATGGACTAGCATCCCTTCCAGGGAGGAGTAGAAAATGGCCCCAAGGTGCTCAATCTGGTAAATACGGTAAAAAATACACCTACGGAACCATGTTTTATCGATGTTGAGCAGTTTGATGATGCTATTTTTGTGGTGAAAATAAAACAAACGTAGACCTAACCAGTTTTCCTTGATGTAATATTTAACAAACTAAGAACATTTTGATGTGATGACTGAAGACAACTTTATATAGTGCTTCAACTACCTTCTGTCGATGACCGTCTTTCGTTTTCTACATGTCATTGAACTCCCACCCCCTTACTTCTCAACTTTTGCCAGTGGCTGATGGTTGACTAATCATTTTGATTCATTTGTTTTTTTCTGCTCTGCGGAGAACACTAACACGATTACCACAAATCCTAGATTAAATAACTCCAGGGGTTTCTTTAACGTTTTCTGCAACTGGGCAAATGGTTTTCACAGGGGGAGCAAAACTTTTTGAACTGAGCTTCTTTATTCTTCCAGATGGTCAAACCAGGGGGACAAAATCATCGCGGTCAATTTGGTGCCTGGCCCTTAATGAAACTCCTGTAAAGAACCAGAAGGCTTAAAGAACTGTAGAGGTGGAGAGTATGATTCAGTTGACAAGTAATTGTCCGAAAATAGAAAGTTAAGAGCTAAGTGTTAATCAAACCATCGCACAGTCCCATCACTTATAACATACTACTTTTCAAATCTTGGGGGGCAACTCCCATATAAAAGGATGGGGTACTTGTCAGAAATTTTGAAAAGAATCCCCTAAGAGGTACCAAGATCCTGTTTAAATTTTTTTCACTCTCTAAGAGGTACGAATTCTAAAACAACACATTAACTGATACTTTCATAATCTTTAACAGCGTTAAAGATGATTGCTTCGAATACCTTCTACTTGTAAAGTTGATTATCAAATATATCCTGGCATATTTTTCTGGCTCAAAACCCTAAAAGGTACCACAAAAGCTCACACTGTGGACCTTTTGAGGTTCCAAAACCACTTTTTTAACCCCTAAAAGGTACGACAAGCAACCCCACCCTTTTTATATGGGATTCCCTTCGGGCTTCAAATACTTGATTAAAAGTTCTACGGTACAAGTTTGAGTTTGGTTAATATAACACAACACAACTTAAGTAACACAAGGCATATCACAGTGGAGGAGAGAACCTTGTAGATCACTTCCAAGTTTGTTCGCATAAAAGGAAACATTAGAGTAAAAAAGTCATTTTAAATGGACTTAGGTTTGAACTAAGAACTCACTTTGAAACTGAGGCAAACAGTGACTTAGATATGGCTCATGATGTCCCTTCTGGGGGATTGGGGGGGTGTGGCAGAGGCTACACAGAGGACTTACAGTAACCCACAGTATACAACTCCTAACATTAATGTTACATATTGGATATTTTTTACATTATTCCATTGGCTGCAGAGCAACCTGTTTTGACTTCCCACTGAATGGAGGTCAAAATAAATCAGGGGAACACTGAATACCATAAAGTTGGATAACCCATGCTTGTTACTAACTTCATTCACATATAATCACATGAGATAGACTTTATAGGCAACTAGAACTTGTTCCCCTAACAGAAATATAAATTATATCGCTATGTGTATGTACAAATAATATTTCAGTTTCTGTTAAGATTCCTCTATATTCTCATTATCACTTGACGAGGCATCTGAACCATGTGCCGCTGTCTTCTTGTCTTCGAGCTTCTTCTTGATTGCTTCTAGTCTTTGTTTAATGGATACAAAGTCAAATGTTCCCCGCTTCTCTCCAAAAGGGTCCTATAACAGAATGCAATTAACATCTTTTCAAAGAGCAGTGAGACACAGTCTGACCTGGCCGCCAGTCTGATTGATCAGAAGAAGCCAGATACCCCAACAGTGTTGGCAATTTACTCAAGTTTCTATAGCATAAAGCTACTTCAACCTGGATGGGATGCAAGTTAAATTGTTTAGAGAAATAGTCTGGTCAAATTGTAAGTTTTAACCTAGAAGACCTGTTTTATCAAATATCCTGTCTTATTTTATGACAAGGTAGTCTTGAGGCAAATTGAAGTCTTCTGATTGGTTTTTTCTGGGTCAGGATTTTGCTATACTGTGTTTTTGTTCTTTGAAAGCTGGCAAATTCAATAAACAACCATGGCTAGAGTGCAATATACTTGACTACTTACCAACCTAGTTTGCTCAAGCCATACTGTTAATATTGGCCCTTGGTCGTTTTTGTACAGACTACACACTGCACTCAGTTCATGCTGTCATGATCTCGGGCCAATATTCCTGAGTACGGCCCTCACGCTTGGTCGGTGAGAGGTTATTATTTTGGAAAATTACCTTATTTAGGGCATGCGTTAAAATAAACTGGTCTTGTGCGGTGCACTAAACCTTAGCTAAGTGTGTCTACAAGTTTGTTATTAAGGAGGAGGAGAGCCTTGCCCAGGAACAAAACAGAACAACTCAAACCCACAGCCCTTAGTCATAGATAAACTACTGTTGTGTCAAAACAATTTTTTTTTTTTTGGTGTTCAGTGCTTACCATCATGTTCTGTCCATTTTGATGAGAGTTGTCATTGATAACAGACAGGTAGTAATCATAAAACTCTGGAAATGATTTCTCCATTACATCTCTGAAACAATGATTTGAAAAACACAATCAACAGAAATTATCAAAACCTCAACACAAGTGGGGCCTGAATTTCAGGAGTCTTCTGTAGTCATTCTTAAGTTTTCCCCTTTGAGGCTATCTTTCACCATTGAGCTCAGTGCAAAAATGACGTCAGCAAACAGCAGAATACAGGAGCCCATAAAATGCACTATCACCATGTAAAGGCCTTTGATTGCAACAAAAAAAATGTAACTAGACCTCTTAAATCAAACAAGTTTAGAATATGAATTCTCCTTACTGATAAGACTGCCCTTTTTAATGTAAGTTTTGAGAATATAGTGTTAGATCAAGACAAAATAATGACAAAAAAATAAAATTTGAAGACATCATATGTAGAAATGATAGGTGGTCATGTTTAAGATTAAATCCATTACCTATCCATAGCTTGACAGGGTTCCACAATCAGCTTACATGGCAGAAGCAGATAAAGACTGTCAGAAAGGTGGTTTTCCAAAATGTGCACCAAAGATGCAAGCCTTTTGGCAGGAGCGGGGTTTGGGGGGAGATAAGTCCAAACAACTTGTACATTTACTAAGTACATTTACCATTTTGCCAAGAAACATTTGTTTCCGAGGAAAGTATATAACACAGGGAAGTACCTACTTGAGTGCCGAGGGACATTTCAATTTTCCTTCCAACATGTCACAGACTGCAACTCTTAAGCTTTCATGCTGGATACATTCATTATATCGCTTTGAATCCCCTGACTGTCTTTCCTGAAATAAAATATGTGAATGAGTTCTTCACTAATTTAATTATAACCAATGGTAAAAGCCTTTTTCCTTACTGGTAGATATCCTAATTAACTGTGAGTAAAATTTCTTGTAGCTCATTTGATGATAAGCAATCCAGGACTGATTGAACATGCCTACATTCCATGTTGTTATCTAATATTGCCTTACTGTTATTGACATCACAATCAGTAAGGAACAACATTTATTATGGTTACAAATTTCAGCACCTAAACATTTTACAGAATCCATTCACAATATTTTAAGTTTTGTGACAAATCTTAGACAGTGGTTTAAGAAAATTCTATAGCCTATTTATTTAGTTACAATTATCCACAGTCCTACACACCTGTTCAAATCCTGGCTCGTTATGATACGGTTTTTCATTTAAAAGAGACTGAATGGAGATTAATACACTAGATAGGGACTGGGCAGGACTCCAAGCCGGACCAGACCATGTCCTGTAACCAAACATGAAAAATCAAAACGCTGTACGATTTAAAACAAATAATCCTACTGATCTTGTGATATTAACCTACCAGGTGAAATTCTCTGATCCCTCATTAAACTAGGGCTCTATACATTTGTGCACTCTAGTAACCCATTTGCAATTTTCATACTCTTAGGCATAGAGTCTATTCTGATTCAATGGATCAGAGAACCAAGTGCCTCACTGGGACTGACGCTAATCTTCAGCTTCTGTTGTTTGATGTAGTAAGAATATTCTATTCCCACCTGGATGAAATGCAAATCCATCGCAGATTGCCCTGATAATTCATCAGAAACTATTTAATATGCTTCCAGATGAAGGGGAGCACTGTGAGAGTAACAACAATTGAAAGGCCGCATGCAAGAACGTCCCCTAGATTTTTCGGCCATTTTTGAAAGTGTTTAAAACTAGCTGAATTTTGGCATGTGGGCTTCGTTTCACCTGAGAAAATTCAGAGCAATGTTTCTCAGGTACAACGAAGCCTCCATGCCAAAATTCAGCTATTTTTGAACACTTTCAAAATGGCCAAAAAATCCAGGGGACGTTCTTGCACACAGCCTTTCAATTGTCTTGTCCAAGAACAGGACACTTGGACATTAGCCAGTCCTCAAACCTACATGTGCTACTCAATCTGTAGTCCAATGTGCTAACTGTTGTAGCAACCATGTTTTGTTATTTGACACCCCACTGATATTTTCATGTTGTTCATCAAATAGTTCACAAGAAGAACCAGTAAAGTTACTTACCCCAGTATACTCAGGCACACTTTGCCATTTCTGTACAAGTTGGGGTTAAACCTGACCTGCCCCCCTCCTGTGGTCATTAACTTGACCCTGGGGGGTCTAATGGGGTAGTCAGGGGGACATCGAATCAAGAAGTAAAAGAATCCTCCCTCGTAGGGTGTGTCAAATGGACCAGTGATTAGAGCATGAATCTGAAAACAATAGATAATAAATCATTTTAAAAAATAACAACTTTATTGCTAGCCTCTGCATGGATTTAATCCATACATGGTATTGGACATAGGTATTTGGCTTCTTACAACTATGTATTAATCCAGTCAAAGATTATTAACTCATTTGGCTAGTAATAATGAGCTTGTTTTACATTAAATACTTTCAATCAGCTGTTCCTCAAATGTTAAATTATGAAAAAAAAATTTCAGTGAAGCTTGTGTGCATCTACAAAACACACAAATGAGAAGAGAATTTAAAAAAGAAAATGTAACTTGTCACTTGTTTGTAAACGGTAAGGAAGCTCTTTTCCATTCACAACATTGGTAGAAACTCTTGTGTGTCCAGTGCTGCAACATATAAAGCACCGGGTGATTTTCTCAGCCTACCCATCACACAGTTTTGTGATATTTTGTCTTTTCATAATCAGTTTGACATACAATTTGCGGATTATGTGTATTAAAGGTATCCACAGTCAATAGACATCTCAGTTGACAGTCGGTTGAGAGCCGACTAATTTTCACAGGTATGCCAGCAAGTGTCGAACGGTACATAAGAGAAGGCCAACACTCTACCTACTATTGACCAAGTGTTGATCAGGTCTCAATTGAGTGTTGATCGAGTGTCAATCAAGTGTTGCTCAAGACATTGATTGAGTATCAATCTAGTGTCAACTGAGTATCAATCGAGATGTCAATCAAGATGTCTCTTAAGGGTCAATCAAGGTTATTGATTGATATTCAACCACAGATGCCTTTAAGCACACATGATCCCAATTGCCATCAACTATCTTCTTTCCAACGCAGCAGGTACAACTTGAGGAGTCCTGTTAAAGATAGTTTTTCTCACATAATTGTTATGGAATTAATATCACTTTTGGATGTCATCTCAAATGAGGAACAAAAGTGAGGGAAGTTTTCTCTTTTTTTTGTGAGTGATTTTTCAAAAGATCATTTGATAGAAATTGGTGGCCATTTTGATATGTAAAACTTGTTTTACCACATATGGAATATAAAAGGCCATAAATCAGAAGCCTGCAATGGCATATATAAAGTTGTTTTGGAGCAAGTAAAACCCAACCTGGGCACATGCATTTCATTTAAAAATAATATGAAATGATATGCCTTTTTGCAATATTATGCTGTCCCATATGGTCCAATACATCTCATCATGGCACTTATCAACAGCATACAGACCTTTGTGATGTCCTCTTTGTCAGGCACGATGCACATACCAGGTGGTGGTTCATTGTATATACTCATTATATCCCTGGAAAAAAAAAAATAAGTAAATTTGGCCCTCACGGCTTGACCAAGAAATTTTACATCTACATGATGTCTTGTAAAAATAGTTTTTTTTTCCTTGCAAAACGCGGCCTCAGGCAAAATGAGGCTTCGACTAATACCGAGTATCACGTATTTACTTACATCCGGTTTGTAAGTATGACAACATTTAATACACAACACATAAATGTAACAACACATCTTGTTCTCAAATATAGTGATATTAAACATGCCAGCCGTTGTTTGATCCACAAAACAATACCGTGTAATTCAGAGAACAGTTTAGAAGGTGTCTCCTTGAAACAGGCTCGAAAGGGCAAGCAATAAATTCGCAGTCGAAACAAAGGCTTGTCAAAAGAGAAAGCAAATAATTCAGCATTTAAGAAAAAGCCATTTTAAATTTACTGTGCCGAGAATGTTGTCGGAAATGATCTCAATTTTTGATTACGTGTGGGCAAGGAAAAAATAATATTAATTTTGCCCCAGAAACGTTAACCCCTTTACAAAGTGAAATAGCTCAGAAATTTCTCCGGGTGCATTTTTCATCAGAATTTGCTTAATGATCAATTTAGCAATACGCCTGAGGAAAACCGAGCCGTGTACCAATTCGAAAGAACGTTAACACTATCCTACCTTTTAATTCTCAAAACGCATTGTGGTGTAACATTTTCTTTGTCCCAATCTTTGGAATGATGAGGATCCCACAGCGCGTTGGACGTCGCTGCCAAAAACACATCTTCTTCCGCCATCTTGAAACACTGACATTCGAGAGTGCGCATTAAAATGATATGACGTCATCATTGAGTTGTTCAGGGTAACGAACGCCGAAATTTCTGGGAAGCTGTGATCTTTCCATTTTCTTTTTGCGTGAAGAGACTGAAGAGGGTTTGGATGCTCGGCAGAGAGCTGACTCGCTTTGGAAAGAGAGCATGAAGAGGTAGCTAAGATCTGAGATTTGAAAAATTTATCGACAGCTGAGATATGGTCTGAAATTTTGACTGATAACTGAGAGTTTAACTAATAACTGAAATTCCAGCACTCTAATCTAGACCTTCTGCGAAACTCATCACTGCATATTTTACCACGCGCCGACTCTTGGAAATCATGACTTGACACATTGATTTCCTTCAAAATAATTGTACGCTCTTAGCCAACGAGAAAAGAAAATGGTGTAAACGTGAGAAAAAGCAACATCTACGCCCAGGCCAAGGCGGTCGAGCACAGGTTACGCTTATCCCGGAGTGCCTAGGGACGTCCATCGCTCCGAGTTACCTCTGAGCCCTGGGAATTTCCCACTAGCACAGAGTTGCTAGGTCGGTTGCTAGCACACATTTATATTGTGGTATTCTCGGGTGAAAGAGAAGCATGTACTGTCAGTTTGAAATCTCCTCTCCAAGCTAAGAGTAGCTTGTGAACAGCTTCCCGATTGGTACAGTTTATAGGAAGGTAAAAAAAAAAAAAAAAAAAANTTTTTTTTTTTTTTTTTTTTTCGTCTTCGCCGAGAGCCTGTTTAATTACAGACTGCTCAGAAAAAATAACAGAGAAAACGGACAGACTTCTTGACTCAGAGTCCATCTCGCTAACCATATTTCTTTTTCGATCTTTTTCTTGTCGCCTCTTTCGTCGCTGAGCCATAGGCCATGTGCGCTCGGATTAGCAAAAATGACCTTGCTTCCAGAATACTACATCAATGCAGAAACTGTTCATTTAGTAAGGATAATTTTGCTTGTCCTTTGTTGCTTTTAGTTCTTTTCAAAAGAGAATTAGTTCATTCGAATTTCTTGTTTTATTAACAAAAGCTTTCACTAGTGAAGGTAGAAAGGACTAGAATTCACAAGAGGAGATGAAAATCAACCATAACTACTTCATCTCACCTATTTTTTCCTCAAGGGAAGCGTTTATAATTTATCGCCGGCTTATTATTTATTTATATATTATTTATTGCCTAAGTTTAAAAATGAAAAAAAGCCAACGGTTTTGACTGTTTCAAACTTTAGCCAATATATTGAGTGTTAATGATGGCACTATTACGCAGATCTCGCCAGCCAAACTAACGAAGGAGGCAGGCATCCTTCGTGCAATTGAAAAATTCGACGTCATCCTAAATTTTGAAGCAGGAAGGATAACACGTGCGCATTTTGCCATCGTAAATCAGACACTTGAAGTTGATCATAGCCATAGACAGTTTACATAAGTTTGTTGAAATATATTAAAATATAAAAATTGATTTGATAACGTGACAAATATCTGCACCAGAAAAATAATTTATAACTTGGTTATCGTGCCAAATTTGAATTTCAATTTCCTTCCTGTAAGTCAGGAAGGAAATTAGTTGTTGTTCAACCCGCGGGATATTTACAAAAGTAAAAGGAAGAGAAGTCCTAATCTCGTTCAATATTACACCTATATTTGTTTTCCTCTTGCAGTTTCATAATTGCTTTCATGTCACGGGCTTTATTAGCGGATCAGAGTTTTCAGGTTTTTCAGTGCTTAACTTTCTGACTGATATCGACGAAAACAAAGCCTATATCAGCTGTTTTGTTTTGTTTACTTTCAGTGAAGCGTTACCTACGCGATGTCGAGGCTATTGGGGCTCGAGGTCTGAACTATGGCGCCAGTTTTGAAAGTCTTTGATTAAAAGCGCGCTTACGAGTAACACCTTTGGATAGAGCATTAAAGGTAAGGATTACAAATGGTTACGTTTACAATTTCGCTATAATGCTAGTAAGTCTTAAATAATGGATTTCAAACTTAACCGATTGGAAACTGCGTTCGATTTTGGAAAGTTTTTCAACTGACTCCGTCTACAATTTGTAATGCATGAATTATTATCGAAGTCGGTTGCACTTCGAAATTTGGGCTCGTCCTACACCTCTAGATCTGTTCAAGTGAATCTTAAATGTTCGCTTCCTTTTTGGTTTGCATCAACACCGAGTGATCTACAAAAACTAAGAGACTACAATAAACCCTAGCTATCGTAAATACGGTATTTCCTTAAAAAATATATTCATAAGCACCGATTTCAGCGTCGTTTTTACTGGTTAAAGTTATATCATTTAGTTTACAGTAAGAAAAAGTGCTTCATATTTTGGCTCAGTTCTGCAATAATCAGCACTTGGTGAATCTCAATCTGTGTGAATTTTCTTTTTAATGCCATATACTGACTTTGCCGTTGTTTGCTGTTTTATTATGCAAAATCTTGCAGACTCTTGAAGTTCAAATTTGTGACAAAACCCTTGGTCCAGTCCCTTCTAGCAACGTCAGCGAAATCCTGGTCGCTTTGGAAAGTTACAGACGATATGATCTGCAACTTATGCCACACATTGTCGTCGTTTATGTATTTATCTTTCCAGAGCGCTAGCTTAAGATCATTAGAATTCAAAGAAACAACAGTTCATATACTCTCCCGCCAATATTGATATCGAAAAAAGGCGCACTGCAAAATTTGTGGCAATTTATTTTTCATGAAGTTACATAGGGCCTTGATCGTCTGCTGGTATCTCGCTGCCGACTTCAATAATTAGCAGAACATCCAACATACTCGGTGCAAAAAATTACGATGTACTGCATTCAGATCAATAAACTATTACATTCTAATTAATTTGCATTCGTGTCACTTGATTAAATTTGCAGACTTCATTGTTAAGTTATCACAAACGGCAAAGGACATTGAATATAAATAGAACAATAATATAGTTGTCACCTTTATTCAATTTTATTCTGCGGATGAAAATGTAATTGGTCTATGGATTTTTTAAATTTTCTTCTTCATTTTAGTAATTTATATTGATCGCAAATTAATTCTCGGTCGATGGAAAAAATTTTGTGTGTCTCTCAGTTTGTTTCGATAACAATTCTTGTTATTAGATAATTTATTTTTTCTGTGCGTTTTAAAATTGCATGAGCGCTCAAAATAAAACAAGGTTTGAAATTCTGTAAACTCAGTTCAAATGTCTTTCGTCCGAACAAAACAGATCGACTCTTTGTCAAAAGAAGTCTGCAACTCGTTTTTCTCAAAAAATAATTCGCCCATCTTTTTGCAGTTGTAAAACATTTGAACTAGTTTCATAGCAATGATTGAAAATAAGTTGTTTTGTTTCCATCGCCTCAGGGTCACCCCAGGGAGTTCAAACGAAGGAAGACCGAAGAAAGCTTTTGGGTGAAGCGAAGTGTGGAGAATTGATTCAGTCCCTTTAACGTAATCCTGCTTTCTAGCAAGCTCTTCGCTTGGAGGAAGAATTACAACGTTTTCACTGCCCCAGAGAGTATTTAAAGATGTAAGAAGAGCTGAAGAAATGTGAAAGGTTGGTTTAAGTTCATCTTTTAGTCGCGTTCTGGGTTGTGTTAATTTATTTCTTGTAGTTCATCAGAGGAAGCATGTTGTTTATTCTTCCTTTGTCGCGAGGGCAAACTGAGTAACCCGCACTCAAATGGTAAATCAAGGTTTTTTAAACGATTCTAGGAAAATAGTTCGTCGTGGAAGATTGTCTTTTGTGTCTTTGGGGGATTTTTTTTACGATCTTGATGAAAGCGACCGATTATTTTCGAGTTAAAGGTTTTTCAAAAGTCCAGATTATGTCGCTGAGCTACTCATAAAGAGTTTCCTCTGAGGGTGTTTTCCGCTGTAAACAGACCCTCACACGTCTTTCAAATCGAAGGGTTATCGGAGTTTTATCTAGTTCGTTGTCTTTTTACTGGTTATGTGTAGTACAAAGTTTGCTTTCGTTCAGTTTGTCTTGACAGTCGAAGAGTAATGGACATTCGCCCTTACAATGGGGATTCACTTGCGTAAATCGCATAAATTAGCCGCTACTTTAAAATCCCTGCACGAAAAGGTTCGTTAGCTTTCGTTTAGAGAACGAACTCTTTTTAAAAGTATCTTAAGTCAAACGCTACGTTTAACACTTCATTTCTACTTTAACTTTTACTACTTAGAGCTTCTGTCAAGAAGACATTTACGACGTTTCTGCTTGTTGATTATGAAGAACACCCCGCCAAGAATATTCGGGATAATTAATGCTAAATATGTTCTGCTCCACGCTTTTTCGGCGCCATCCTCTACATGAAGCAGCTTAGGCGCTTTGGCAGTCATTTAGCGTCATCTTCTTCGAAAGCTTGCATTTCTGGGTTGTTCTGTGCGGGTTAAATGTCGTGTATTGGTTCTAATCGGGCTCTACTGGTCATATTTTGCGCGTCTCGTTTCGATTCGCTCCAGTTACTCAATTGTCTATTTGGTTGAAAGAATGAGGCCTGTTTCTTACGACAAGCATTCCTCGACATTCTCGGAAATATATTTTGGGACGTTTCGCACATTCTACTGATCATAAGAGGAGAAATGTTCCAAGGATTCGAAAGGATGTTTAAACACGAGGTTTTACATTCTGGGAAATGGAAAAAAGGCGCGCAATTTATGAATTTAATGATCTTTAATTGAATGCAGGCAATGAAGGGTGTCTAATTCGTAGGAACGTAAATAGGCATTTATATTTAAATCGCCCATCCTTGTTCAGTAATCTTTAAGTCTTTGAGTGTCGAGGTGAACTATTGATTATTGGTTAAAGGTTGCGCGAAAGAAATTTACGGTGGTACATGTTGAATACTAATCAGATTGGAAGCGACAAAAGCAAAAGATCTATGGGTTTCAACCAAATTTTTAGCGCTTTTGTTCATTCTTTGTTTTTATATAGCGCGCGAAAAATTACTCACTATACGTTTTCGCGCGTTCAACGTAAACGACTGAAAATTGATGTTTATCAATTGCCAAGATTGAAAATTACATTTGGCGCAAATAAAAAAAATGCCAAATAGCTCTCTGACCTATGGGATATAGATACGGTACTCCTGAGTTTTGTACCTTGAATGTTAAGTTATTTATGGAGCGAATAATTCATACCGGGAGTTGATCTTATATTCATTGAAAGCCTAATGAAGGGTATGGCGCTAAATTTTACGGTTCTGTAGTGAAGTGTCAGGCATACGTTAGAAATACGCCGGATCGCACTACAAAATTTAGCTTAAAACATTTAGCTTAGAGAGAATTAAAAACATTTCAGTTTTGGAAAATGTTTTTTAAAAATATACATTTCCCCATTATAAGGTTAACCTCACGAAGGCAGTCCCCTCGCGGGTTTCTACAATCAGTTTGTGACGAACGAATCAAACTTGAACTAGTGAGCTAACAATCAATCAAAGAAGAATCAAGAATATACTAATTTGTGAGAATGTTTTGGGAATGTAAAGAAAAAACATATTAAGTCCCATGAGAGAAACGGACACCAATTGAATGTTCGCTTGGTACGTAGGCTTTCTGTCCTGTACCAGCACTAATCCATTTCAGCTTTAAAACTGACAGCATCTTCGCACCGAAAACGTTTTTTTTCTTTTCGTCACTATCGTCATAGAAATTGGCTTCCTAGAAAATGTTCACTCTAAAGCGTTTTCCAATCGCTCCGTTTGAGGTAAAGACAGAGAACGCTGAATTAAGTGTGGACAAGACACGTTCTAGTGTGGGCAGAGTATCCGTTATAAAAGAACTGGTCATGCTTAGTGTGAATGCACTTGGGAGGTTTGCTAAGCACTCAAGCAGTTAGAGTTGCTCTCGGCTATCGCCTCGAGCAACTCCTAAAACGCTTCTTTCGTGCTCTCCAAACTTCCCGCATGCATCCATAACTCGATATACGCACGCTAAGCATGAACCAATTCTTCACTTTTTCTCAGTAGATGCCTAAACACTAATTAAAGCTGTTTTATAGTGACGTATAATCAGGAGTATTTCAGCTGAATTTATGCAGTTCATGCCTGAGATTGGAGCAATTCGTGCCGCTCATGGCTTTTATTCAACCAATTGGTTAACGAAGCATTCAAACTGTGAGCGTTATTTCAGTGCACACAGTAAAGGGGCTGTCTTGAGGAAAAGTTATGTACACGCTAAATGAGTCAATGTAATCATTATCATTTTTCGATTTTCCGTGCGTTCGTTAATGATATGAAAATGCTGTCGCGCCTTTTAATGGCTTTCAAAACCACCCAAATTTAAACTAATCAAATTGTTAACTCTGCACTGTAGACTGTAGAACTATTTAAAAAGAAAGATTTTATCACGGCTTTCTGTGATTTGATCACGCAAATTATAAGAAATCTGCACTTTTCGTGATTTAGCACTTTCACGTGACTTCGTCAGTTAAACCTCTGCTGGGAAGATCTTACTTTATTTATGTTTTTATTTGTTTATTCTAAATGATATGGTCCCCAGATGAGTAGAAATGAATGCGTTTTCTATGTTCTTTTACATAGAGAAAGATTGGCCTGTCTTCTTGACTTTTGTCACTGTCACTGCAAACAAGTAATATTGACGATGTTCGAGATTTATTTCCTGCTAAACTAAAAGAAAAAGATCTAACGTAATTTTCCAAGTCCTTTTAAAAACACAGTTGACTTGTCTGTAAAGAAACTGCAAACAAGATATGAAATAAACAAGGAAGACCTGAAAAGCCACTCTCAGCGCTCTGCCTCTCAACTATGATCATATCGTTACTAATTGTGAAACATCTTAACCACATACGTGTACTTGTTTCCTGGTTTTCGCTGTGTACTCACGCACGCGAACAAACGCTGTCGATGTTCCTCCACTGATATGGATCATTCACGGAGTCAATAACAGCATCTCCGCACACTGACCTTAATTCTTTCAACCAGAGATCCTTGGATGTTGACTTTGTTGCAGATATTTCCACTGTGTCAAGTGAAGATTATCACCTAAATGTTAACACTCTTACAACTGCTAAACTGACCAAAATATTTTGACGATATATTTTACACACAACAAACATTTCTCCCGCACAAGCAAAAATATCCGAGGTTTCTCAAAGAGAAATTCTCGTAGTTGCCACCGACATTTCAATAAAAAGTTTCGTCCTCGCTGATGCAGGTGATGATTAACACTTAAAGCTCTTTCAAACGAACTGTTTTTGTGATTGTTTGGTACTGTTTGTATCCAAAATTATTTTATGAAACCAGTGCACAATTAACTTATCTCGTGTGGTGTAAACAGAAAGGAAACTGATATTGTCAGTTATAAGACTGGTGCAGCTGTTAGCTAGTTCACTGATTTTATCATTTGTCTTGTGTTTGAATCAAAACAGGTGACGGATTTGAGTGGGTCGCCAAAAACTTTCACAATGACATGAATTTCGCTGTCGAGAAAGCATTGAGTTTCTGGAAGCGGTTGATTGTAAAATAGCATTGAAGCTAGAAGACGGCACGAGGCGAGATCCTGGATTTGAACAGTTTAAAAATCGGAATAACTAGCTAAAGTAGGTAAGTCAAAAGCCAATTCTGTGTGCACGTTATTACGCTAAAACAACACTTACTAGCAAATGGAAAATCACCTTATCTAAGAAATCGAAAAATCAGTCGTAACACTCTTAACGAGAAAAGGAATTTTGCCACTCTAGTGTTGCAATGCTCGGTTTTTTTTGTTAAAAAAAATAGTTAGTATTTTTGCCTGCGGGTCTTGTATTGATTTATTATCTGAAGATCATAAATCTCATTTCAGGTTCTAGGGTATTTGTGAGGTTTACCTCGAACTTCCATTAAAAGGGCTAGAATTTAGTGGACATGAACAGAGCGTAAAAGTTCACATGCAACGCTTCTAAAAGGTTTTACAGTGCAGCCGGGAAATATATTACAAAAGACAGAATGCATGGTTGTAATGGATGGCATACTCAAGAAAAAATTATCATCATTACATAGAAAAGGTTTATTTGTGAAACTGAACAAAAAACTCAGGTAGTGATGAATAATATATTACAAAGTGACAATCCGCTACAAAACAAAACCAGTTCAAATTTTTGTAATTTGCATTTTCTACTTTTAATAGTGGCCCTGCTCGGCACGGGAAATTTTTTCTGTGAAAATTCGAGTTTATTAACACTCTAATATCCTTGAAACAAAGGAAGAAATATTTAACGTGCTTTACTCGGGAAAAGAACTTGCCAGAACGTTCAATTTTTTTAGATAACGTTGCCGCAAGTCTAGCTATTATGGACAGTTTTTGACCTGATAAATTAATTTAGACTTGCCGATCAAACGAAAAAATATTGCCTCTAATTTTTCAGCAATTTTCGTGCCTTACAATTAACAATTACAAGATTAAAATATGACAAACTAGATTCAAAACTAAAAGACACAGTTTTGTGATAAATATTGTAATGAAAATATAACTAGAATGTCGCCGCAAAAATTCCTTGGGTAAAGGTGTTAGCTGCACCTGAATCAAAAGATTTCGTCGTCGTTTTTTCGTCTTCCGTTGTAGATCGAGATAAGCATTGTTGATCGAGTTTTGGCTTGACGATTCCAATTTTCAGGTAAAGATTGTTTTTTGTTTGATTATTTTCTTTTTCCCGTCTGTTTCCTTGTTTTTATTTAGAGCGGATATACACTTGATTAATCATTCATACGATTGTACGGGAAGCTGAAAGTTAATGATAATCCACTTGATATTTGTCTGTTGCTTTTCGGCTGTATCTGAATTTCCATATCCCTAGTGGCTGTCAGTTCGCAATTTTTGGTCCATTTTGTGTTCGGCGTACACAAGCGCTTGAAACAGCTCTAATTCTTATAAAATGATGAAATTTTTTTGGTTTTGATTTCGTTTCAAAATTTACGTTTCCACTTTAAGGCTTACCCGCCTCACATGCACATTATAAAGGTAGATTTGTGGATTCACTGTTTTGACTGTTTTTTCTTTAATTAAACAAAGAGCTAGAGCTGAGAAAGAATCTTCGTACCACATCTATTTACCGCGTTAAATAACTTAGGAACTCTCGATCTGGTCGAGAAGGGTTCAAAACGAAAATATCCTTTTTTTAGTTATCGCAGGCGAGAACTTAATGCAAAAGAAAACAGTAACATTAACTTGCTTAAAAATAAGACATTCATGCTTCATTTATGTTAAACGGAAATAATCTGACTTAAAATGTCATACAGTATAATCGGAAGCAAAATATCAAAACTCGGCGAACATCCTTCACACCACCTTAGTTAGTTCCCAGGCGTCCTCGGCGCTGGGGAGAGAAATCTGGAACCTATACCGAGAGTATTGACGACAACCGAGAAAAGCGCTTCCCGCGCTTAGTTCGATAGAAACTCGGAGATTTGCGGAGAATCCTCAAACTTAACTGTGGTTTATTGGGTTAATTTTCATGTTTTTATAAGTTGCGACATGCTGTGAAAAGCGTCGACTGATATCGATATAACTCTGTCGTCGAGCGATGTACGTAGTCTTTTGACGTCATTTTGTCCCAATTTAAAAATGCAAAGCGCTATTAAACGAAAATGTTTTCAGTTTTGTATTGTTAATCAGGGAGATGTGTTTACATGTATTTTTGCTCTACCTTGCGTACAAATTATAAATCTTTCCTGTTTGTTAGTTTCGTGAGGCGGAAAATTTCTCCCTTATAACTGAGTAGGTTGGATCGTTAGAAAATACCTAGAAATTAACAACAGCTTTAAATGACTTTCACTCATTATTAAATTTAATCTCTTTATCATTTCCAACTGAAAACAGCCTAAAATTGTCTGATCCACGGCGTTATTTCTTGTTTTCGGGATCACGCGCGTGTATCTCGAATGTCAGTTGCCACGAGCCTTTCTGTCAATGTGCTCTTAAAACAAGCCATCTTAAAGTAAAAAAAATAGATTCGTCAATTTATAGGGAACATGTAGCGAATAAAATATATAGGCAATCATTTCATCGATAAAATAGAAGTTATAGCTGGTAGACGCCGACAATTTAAACTCGATTTGTCTGCGGCCTGTTCAGAAAAGTGATTTTACGTTTTCGGCTAGCTTTAGGAAAACTCATGCAGTTGAATGATTGCAACGAGAGAAAGTGATTAATTTTTTACTGGAAAAAAAGTGAAAGCTATTTGTAGTTGAATGACCGAACTTCGTCGAACAAAAATTGTATTTGGCCGTTCAATTCCAAACCTAGAGGGAAATTCAGGGATGGTGCTGAGATGGTTTTCGCTCCGCCGACATTTTACATTCGTCACTGTTCTCCATCTCTGCCAATCAATTCGATTCAAAGTGACAGTGTTTCGAAATGCTGACATTATATTTAGCCCTGCCTCGCCGCAAATGCATCAGAAAAAGAAGTTAATCAGTAGAGACACGAATTAGTATTGCTTCTGCAGTGTAATCTGCCGCCAAAATACAGACAACCCTTAGTCAGATATGATATATATCGTGCACGGCCTAATATTTAATACACATAAACCCATGAAGGATAAAACGCGATGTTTGTAGAAATTGTTGTGGCATGAAGACCGTCAAATCATAGCGCCCAGGCTGTAATTAACTGAAAATTATTCAGATCAGATTAAGACCTTTATTTTGACAGAGTTCTACGCCGAAGTGGAAAGGTCTTGTTATTAATTTAACACTTTCACCACGAAAGAAAGACCATAATCCGTATTGCCGTTTCGCGCAGTTCTCTCTGTTCGTCTATTCTTCAGTCTAGCTTATGAAAGATTCTTCTCAAGCATCTTTCACCAAAGATTTACGCCTTTTATTTGCAAGGATTTAGTACCGAAGGTGAGCTGTATCATTCTTTTCCTTAGAAACCTGAAGTACAAGGAAAACTTATCTGTTTAGGGGAAGTTTAAGTTTTTATCTTTCCTCAATCGCTTCATATGCGCGAAATCTAATTTTAGTCTATCTGACCCTTTTCATACAGTCTAAATTAAAACGATATGAGGAAATATATTTATCACCTTTGCATAGTTAATTTTTAGACATCCCTTGCAGTGGAAAAACAAACAGCTAAGAAATACTCTCTTATTCATTTGTATGTTAATTCACGCCCAGTAATGATGAAAACCGCAGGAATCTTCTCGAGTTTGCGCTCTGAGAATTGGCTGAACAAAAAAAAGGCGCGATGTAGTTTTATTATAATTAACTGTTACTTAAATGACAATTTTTTTTAAAGAGGGTTCATAGTTGCAAAGTTTAGAAGACGTTTTTCTTTCCAAGGTTAACTCTGCATTGATATAATAAATATTTATGAGCTGGGAAATTAGTAGGCTGTTTCGATCCCAAAAGGTGGAGATATAACATTTTCGGAAAAAGAGCTTTTTGAATCTTTCAGTCTTTGCAGAATTACCAAAGATTTGGAAGATCACCGACATTAAAAGACACGTTATCTAAGAAAGATCGAAACTACTCTTCCATATTGGTCGCAGGGTCTCATCTACCCTCCGAGCAGAGTCGCTTCGATTTTTCCCAGATACGTCGGAAAAGAGGAAAAAGATCTAGGCGCCTCTCCTCACCGGGTGGTGAGACAAAAAGGTGCTGAGAAACTTGCTCCCATTTTATTTTTAGTGAAGGGAGAAGTTGTAATTTCCAATTGCAAACATGAATTGCAAGAGGAAGCTCGCATTGTAGGTGTATTTTCATATCCTATTATTGTGAATTCCATGTTAGGTAATAGCTTCAGGGCTCCTATTGATAGCAGAGATGCTTTGTAAGCTCCCTGAAGGGATTACCCTGAAAATTTACCTATAGATTTTTACTTTTAAATAAAGGTGTCGATGTATCTTCCCCTAGTCGCTTCATGGTGAAGAATTGATAATATTAGCAGTAATTATCCTACAAGTTTTCTCTAACAATATTTTTTTTCCCTTGCAGATTGTAGCACAATGGATATCATGATAATGATAATTCTCGGCATAGTAGGCGGTGTCATGATCGCCACTGTAGCAGTTTGCGGTATTTACTACTCGTACAGAACGAAAAATGACCGAGAGAAGGAGAAGACCGCGGCAAAAGTCGCCAAGAGTACACCCGCACGGAGGAGCGTTCGTACAGAAAGCGAACCATATGTTGTGTACCAGGACGAATCTCTTGTGGATTTTGACAGCATTCCTGTACAACCTGAAACTAAAAGACCAATCAGGTATTGTTATCTTTCTTGCTCATTTTTCAAAAAACTACCTTGCATATTCATTAGGCTGGCAACACACTTGCAACGCACTTGCTTGCAACTGGGCTTACAACACACTTGCAAGAGGCATAGTTATGTCAAGTACAATTTTACGTCATTTCGTCATTCAGTTGTGATATTGGTTCCCAGGTCACCCGATGACGTGTATCCCCCGCTGAGAGAGGAAGAGCAGGACGACTACCTACTGAGTAACCTGGATATGGATATCAGTCCCACCTCGGTCATACCACCGGTAGGTCACGTGATCACCTTCTTTGAAGAGCACACTAAGGGCTTGTCCTAAATCAGCCCAGGGCGTTTACTCTCCCAGGATCGCTTGTAAGGAGTCCTAGATTTGACAGGAAACACTTTATTCTGATGACGTAGTCTAACGGAGATCGGTGTCTTCTCTCTGATTAGTTTTAACGCGGGAGCAGCAACCAATCAGAGACACTGCACTGATCTTTGTAGAGCTACGTCATCAATACATAATTTTTCGGGTCCAGTCTCACAAGTCTCCTGAGTGGGAGAAGAATAAGACGAGCACGCCAGCTGTCAAGAGTCCGTTTGCGCAGACTAGTCTGTGGCAAGAACGCTAACTAAGCTCACATTTGGTGTCATGTCCACTTGTGTTTCAGCTAAGTCTGTGTTCAAGCCTAGTGGTTCGTCGCACCGGCGCTTATCCCTGGTTTTCCTAGAATAAAGTGACAAGGAGTATTTCTACCCTCCCTCCCCCCTTCATTATCACCCCCGTGAATGGATGCTAGCCTATCGCAGGGTTACCCCAAGCATTAAACTCGTGGGTACCCATTCATACACCTGGGTGAAGAGAGGCATTGGGTGAAGTGTCTTACCCGAGAACAGAACACAATGACTGCGGCAGGAGCTCGTACCACGACCGCTCTATCCGGTGTCCAGCTCAATAACCGGTTTTCTTCATCATTAAACAGATTATTCTTTCTCGATTTATTTCTAGGAGGAAACAATAGAAAGGAAAGGATGTTTGGAATTTACCTTACATTATTATCAATTAAGGTGAGTGTTTTACTTCCCATTTATAACTTAGTGTTATAGTCCCCTTCAGAGCCAAAGCAAAATATTGGTCATTACATGTATCCTTTTATCTATGCTCATGACCTAAAGTTTGCAATTCAAATAGTCTATTTTCTACCTTTTATCGTCTCTTTTCTGGTCTTTTACAGAGAAAAATTTTAACTTTTTAGTGGGTACAATGCGACCTTGCAAAAAAGACATCTTTCTTGAAATGACTAGAAACACTCATTGCTACATTTTTTTTTTTGTAATTCGCAGTTCTACCTTAACGCTAACATTAATTCGTCTTGGTGACCTTCCTCTGCGGGTTTCCACGGGCAAACCACCAGACCCGATGGTCGAGTTCGAGATCAAATATGGCCATGACGGCAAAATCAAGTCTGAAGTGTATCATACAACTTGTAATCCACACATGTACGAGAGCTTCCGATTCGAAATCCCTGTCAACGACCTTGGAAACCAGACGCTAACATTCAAAGTGATTGACATGATGAAAACGAACTTACCGGAGCCACCACCCCCACCGGAGCCCCCACAGGACAAAAAGAAGAAGAAGAAAGAACCACCGCCGCCGCCACCTCCTCCTCCACCACCCCCACCCCCCACGCTGATAGGATTTGTTACGGTTCCTCTAGTCAGCGTGGCGATGAAGAAGCTATTGTCCGATACTGAGATTACAATCCTGCGTGACGTCATTAAACTCAAACCCAGGCGTTCCTCACCAGAGAAGGTTGAGAGCACTGGAGGCGAGACGGTTGCATCCACTACAGGTACTGGTACAGATGACTTTGAGGATGCACTGGACACTGTGGACGCCGAAGATAAAGATAAGAAAGATAAAGAAGAGGAAGTGGAAGCAACTGAAGACAATCAGTCTAAAACCTCTCAGGTAAGTGTTGTGGTATTAATGCCTTCATTGTGACAGGTCACTCGCAATGTTCTTTGCATTCGTTATTTGAGTTGCCAAGCAGTGTGACGTAGCGTGACGCAGCGAACCATAGATAACGTTTTTAACGGAGAATATCAAAGTGATGCACAACTAAATTACAATGTGCAATTTGTTACGTGTTACAAATGTACCAAAAAGTATATGTAAATTAAAACTTAAAGATTAAAAAAGTGTTTCCATTTTATTACCGCGAGTTTGTTTCGCCTTTGTACTTTCTTTTTGTTACACTGTTTCCTCTGTCATTGTTTTGCTGTTCATTGTTACATAATATGAACTGTTAGTTATCTCAGTGGATTACACTGCGTTGACTTCTTTGCAATTTTATATCTGTTCAGGCAAATGTCGCTGCAATTACTACTTTATGTTGCATTATGCAGATTAGGTTTCATTTAAATATCACTACACTATGTCTGGCGCGGGCTATCTGTCGCATAAAGTACTGATCTACGAACATTTATGCTTTTGGTATCGTTAATACATTCCATTGCTTTTCCCTCCCAATACCATTTTGATAGGTGGAAGAAAAACCACCAGAACCAGTCCCCCCAGCTCGTCCTTCGGTCACATTTTCCCGTGAGGTGGAGTCGGAAATTATGGGACCTGCGCTGCTGGTGTCGCTGGCATACCTAAAAACATCTGAGAAACTCACGGTGATCGTGATGAAAGCGCGAAATTTAAAATTACTCAGCAAAAATAAAAAGCCCGGTAAGTGGAGTTTCTGTAATTGAACTAATTGGAAATTATGCTTAGTAATAAAACTATACCTTTCTCAGTGTCATAATCAGAAACTGTCAAAGGATTATATTTCTGATAACTATTAAAGAAAGAGAAAATACGCCATGTCGTTTCGCTCGTAAACGCAACTTTTCAACTAGTGGTGCTTGCCTTTTCTGCATGATATCCGAGAATGACGACAGGTTTAGAGTTTTGTGATATCTCAGTGGCGGGGCCCCCATATTTTGGGTAAGAAAAGAAGAAATTACAGAAGGATGAAAAGCCGGCAGGGCAAGAAAAACAAAACCGCCCCTTCCCCTTAGCTCAAGGTCTGGATCCGCCACTGTATCTGAGCACACACTTACTGTACTATTTCTTCATTCAAAAACATTAAGAAGGTCGAGGAACCTGAATTCGCTCAATCAGTTATCAACGATCAAAATTTGATCATTCCACTTGCATCCAAGCCCAACGAAATTCATTAGCTTGCAATACATTTTGCCTAGTAAGGCAATGCAAACAACACAGGAGTGTGTTTTTAACTGTATAATTCCAACTTTTTTATGTATATATATATATATATATTTCATCTTTTAGATCCATTAGTTAAAGTGTATATTAAAATGGGCGATAAAAAATTGAAGAAACGCAGCACAGTGGTGAAAAAACACGACGTGCTCCCTGTGTGGAACGAAGCGTTCAGTTTTGCCATTCCCCATCGAATCCTGCTCAAAGTCTCAGTTCTTTTACAAGTGAAGCACTTTTCTGAGCGAGGGAAAAAGAGGTTGCTCGGGAAAGTCGTGATAGGACAAACAGCAAACGACGAAGCGGTGGATCACTGGAACGCCATGCTGACGACTGCAACATCTATTGCCAAGTGGCATTCATTAGAAGAAGAAAAGCCAAGTGTAAAGAGAAGCAAAACGCCGACAAAACAAAAGGCGACGTGACATTTTTGAGTTGTGTACTCAATAACAAATGGCCAACATCAAGCTCGCAATGAAACGTGGGTAGCCATTACCACCTGATTAACTTTTTGACATGTTGCTGTGACATCATGCTGCTTTACCCAACGCTTGGCCCATCAAAAACGAGTTTGATCATCTTTCAGCACTCAAAATAGTCACGTGCCGATACGCTGTTGGTGCCGTTTTTTGATTTGCTGAAAAGTTTGGAAAACCAACTGAGTGGATGCCAAAAAAAATTAAAATTAAAATTAACAAATTCAGCGATAAGTCGCGTTTTACTCTAACTTTTGTTGTCAGTTGATATGGTTTGATGATATCTAATGGTTATGTCTACAAGTATACATTAAGGTTTTTTGTACATTTTTCTACGATTTGGCCTTCTGTTCACATGTTATAAAGATGACATGAGAAAATTGTTTGTTCGTTGTTGTTAAAAACCAATCTTTTGAAGTGGAGGGTTTTAAAAAGATAAACAGTTAACCGTATTTAAAAAACACTTGCGTTTTGTTCACTGAAAATTGGCGCGAGATTTCAACTTATGAGGGAATGTTTGTTTACAATAATTGCCGCATTAGCATTATGGACCTAGTGGTCTCTTGGTGTTGGTCATTTGGTTTGTTTTTCGAGTCACTTCGGACTTCACCTAGAATCTCTGTTCTCTTACAAAATTTTAAAACTTCTACTTCCAAGCTGTAAAAATAAGCTAATTATGTAGCAAAGACTAAGTAAAATCGATTAAGATAGCTCGCACTGACTGATCAGTGCAAGTAATCTTTTATTAGAGCGGTTTTCCATCGAGGGTCTAGAGTAATTCGCCCTCGGTTTGATTTACCTGTACTGCGCTCTGTGATTGGTGTAAAAAACATCTCACGTCAGCGGATGAGCCAATCAGATACAACGGCAGAGATTTGGTCGCCAGCGTTTTCCCGCGCTTAGCGCGTAGGGTATTTATTTTGAGCTCTTGTTGGCTCCCCGCGTAGTTTACGTTGGTTGTGATTAACTTTCTTTCTGATTTTTTTGGTCTTGGTTCAGTTTCAAGAGACTCAAATGAAAACCGCTCTATTGAGAGACAATTTAAAATAGGTAATTGCTACACCTTCTACTGTTTTGAGGAAAACGCCCTTTTGCTGGAACAATATTCCCAACTTTTCCTGTTTGGGCCATGAGCAATAAGAAAATTGAGAATTCGCACATTCAAAAAATACCATTCGATATGGTTTAATAAGTGAGTGATTTCGTCATTCTACAAATTATCCCAGGTTTAGAGGGGAGGGAAAATCGCTGGTTGATAAGGTCCGTTTTTTACCCCTCCCTCTCCCCCCCCGCCCCGAAAGGTACGAAGGAATGAGTTTTGAAGCGCATTTAAGTTTTCAGTATCTTGGGTGGCAGGGTGGGGAAAGAGTATTTATTTTCAAGGGTCTTCTTTTAATGGGAGAAGGGTTTGTTTTAAATGATATTTATAACAGCTAATGTCTATGAAAATTTACAACTGTATAACTACTAATATTGACTTACAGCTTAGGTTTTATGGAACATGTTAAGTTCTAACAAGGAGTGTAGAGCTTACTAGAGGTCTTCAGAGGGGAAGGGGGGGTTCTTAAAAGGAGAGCAGAAGAGATGTTTTTGGCATCTGCACTGGAATACGTTTTATAACCACGTTTTTAATATATTGTTTCATTGTGGTATTTCAGTGTAACCGATTTGGTATATTTTTGCTATATGTTATTATCTGAATAATTACCTTTATTATATGGCTAGCTCTGTGAGCGAGCAAGATGAACTAAATCCTGCGCTGTGATTGGCTACCCGAGCGGGCAAGATGACCTCTATCTTGCCCGCAATAAAGAATTCCCCGAAAGCCCTACAATAAATCGTTTATTGACGGTTAGTTAATAAACCATCATGTCTATATTGTAAAGCTAATAACTGGATTTAGCGCTGTTATACAGCTATTGATTGAAAGAAGTCATTAATTTCTTGTCATTTTCATGACGCCCTGGAAAAATAAAAACCCTCTTAATAACGTTTTCTTTTTATTGTCTCAATGCGCATGCGTAATTAGTTAAAACCAGCGATCGGAAACGCGAAGCTCCTTCGCGTTCCCGGACCGCTGGTCAAGGGGACGCGGACTCTAGAAACGAGATTGTTAGCGTATTGGCTCAGCTCCTGAATGGATTTCAATATAACCAGTCTCTTTCCTCAACGGGCACTGAGCGTGTCTCGAATACAAAAAGTAAACTGGGAACAAAGCTGAATGTACTAAGCTAATAGCAAGATGCCAAAGGAAAATAAAAATTCATATTCCTTGAAGAATACATCCACCAATGTCACCATCCGCCGTTATGCACAAAGCAAAGTAACCTTAAAACAGGTTTAAGCACATACCTTTGTGTAGAGTGTAAGTCATCTCAGGTACATTTAGGAACACAGGGTTCAGTGATTGGCTGCCGCACGTCAGTAAGGTATCAACACAGACGATAACTACCCGGCAAATTCAATAAAAGCCTTCTAATGACCCGGAAATGGCCGGTGAAGCTTAAATTAACAGCTAAACGAGGTAACATTCAAACGATGATTGAATAACATGTTATGCCGTTCAGGACTCCTTTGGAAAGTTTTTCCGACTTCAATCCCGCCAGGTTTTGCAGGTCAAAAAATAAGGAAATTTTCGTGCGACCTAACCTGTATATGTCATTAATGTTACGGAGCTACGTAGTAACTGCTTTCGACGAAAGAGAACTGGGAGCAGCTGGTTGTTTGAATAGGAAACCCACGCAAAATTATTTAAAACAACGAAGTGAAAAGGTACGTCAGAAGTTGCTGAATGGTTTTGAAATGCAATCGGTCTTTTTCAAGAATTCGAACTGTGTGTATGGCATGTGTCAGTTAACATGATTTGTGAAAATAGAGCTCTTTTATTAAAAATGCTTTATCAGCCTTATAAATTAAAAAGCAAATAAGTCAGCCGCAGATGAGCATATTGGAAAATCAAGACACGTTGATAATTTGGAGAGAGGTTTTTTTTTTCAAGTTTGGTTCTATTTTGTGTTGAGAATTCAGTGGCATAAAATTGGGTGCTTAGTAGGTGACATGATACACAGCGTGGAATAAACTCAAATTTACACGTTCAACGCTTTTCTCAAAAACCACCTGCTCTGGTGAATGATAAATAATTAAAAATGTTGCTTAGGTGAAAAAAGTCGAATGTTTTCATTGTTTGCCTAGTATATTTGGCGTGGTTGGCAGTTATCACAAAACATTGTACGCGCGGGTCAATTGATAGACCATACGAAAGACTGAATAAACCCCATTCGCTCTTCATTCATTTGCGATTCTTGTTAATCACTTGCCATTCGGACATGCCTTCCAGCAGTGTCGAATTTATGCAATTCGCTTTGTTTTTATCCTTTCACCGACAGAAAATTATTCTTGATTAATCCGTTCACCGCTGGCCATATTTGCAATTTCTGCGGTAAAACCAGGAGTAGATGGACAGATACAATACATATTTTAACGGGTGTTTGTTTCATCGTCCTTCTTCGATCCCTTGCCTCGGCTTAAGTCGCAGCGAAATTCAAATTACCATATAATCTCAATTCAGGTGAGGCGATGGAGCAAGAGAACCGGGGACGATTGAGTTCAAGGTAAATTATTTCTATTGATATTTTTTCTGCCATTATTTATACTGTTGAACTATTTTGCGCAGGTTAAGTTTAAAATTATTAAAACTTGTGTCGCGCGGTTTATTTCAAATTTAGTTTGCATAATTCTTAGGACTGCCAAAATCGAGAATCGAGTAAATTACGCTTATGTTTAAACATGAGAAAAGAAAGATTTTCTTTTAAAAGTAAAAGAAATTTGGATTGAATCACTCAAAATAAATACAGTGTCATGTTACCGAGTAAAGAGTAAAGCCTTGATTTGCTCTTAGTCAATACAATTTAGCCTCCGTTTGCAATTCGCTTGCCGTCTCCCGAAATTTGCTGTTTTCTTTTGGCTAAAATTTTGCCTTATATCTTGTTTACGGCGAGATAACAAATAGACCATGAGATATTTCTCGCTATACTTCGGTATATAGTAAAGAGGTTACAATTTGTGTATTTGTTTCGCCTCTCGAATATTTAATGAAAATGAAATGGAAGATCAACGGAATTACACAAAGCGCTGAAAAAACTGATTCTTTTTGTGAATCGGTATCACTCTGGTTCCGTGACAGCCATTTTCTGTGCTCGCGTATTTAATGTTGTATTGACGTGGTTAAAAATAGAACCTTGTCTTGTTGGAAATTGCATTAGCATTCTGAGTTCCGGACGTCATTTTGTTTCCGAAGGAAATTTTATTTTCGTGTTTGCCAAAACATTTTCATTTACCGCCCTTCAAATCGAAAACATAAAGTGGTTTTAAGAAACGCATTTGACTTTATCTCGAACATGCCCTCCGTTAAAAACATTTTCACGTTTTCCAGTTCATTTTAAAATCACGGTGTTTATGATAACCGGCTTTGAAGTTTTCAGTCACCTTCGAAACGCATGCGCAGTTGTGTTTTTACTGGCAAATCACTGAGGCGCTCGGTTGAAATTCCTGTTGATTTTCGAAAGCAGTTTCGTGCCTTAAAAAAAAAAACATCCATCCTGTTTTTTTCCCTTTAATCTTACGGATTCCCACAGCGACTTAAAGAATTAGGAGAATTGGTAAGTGACATTTCCAATCCGAATAATTTGAATACCTCAAGGCCATTTAGTGAAAGAAAAAAGATTTTATTTTGCGTTATCGTTGTCTTCCAGGATATATGTATTTCAATTTTCTGTGTCTATTTTGTTCAGTTTAAGAATGTAGCATTTTCAAGGAGAATGTTATCAGGCAAGTAGACCTGAATTAAAACTACATGCCTACGGTTTTCACTAGAGGAGGCAAAATAATGATCCATATTGACATGTTATTGATGAAAACATTTCCCAATAATTTTTTCTGAGCAGCCATACTTTCCGGCTTTCACAGCTGTGTCTCTACAGTGGCCCAAAATTAAACGAAAAAAAATCGAATTCAACAACACAGCGACTGAGATTTAAAATCGAGCGAAAAAGGGAAAAATAATTAAGCGCGGACCTAACGTAGCCTGAGAAACGAAGGTACGATTTGATAGAAATTATTATTAAAGTAAAATCAACATAGTCTCATCTCTTCATGTCTTAAAATTAAAATATTCATGCAAGTCATTCGCATGTTCTCGGACTGATAAACAAAATAGCGACAAATCCAAGCATATAATTTTTAAAATAAAATTTCATTGCTATGCCAGACGTGTTTGACATTATGAAAAGAGTAAAGTGCAAGGGGCTGGAGTAACACGTTATTTTTCGTTTCGGTGAGAGAGAGCAAAAATACCCGCCGGGGAAAATAAGAAACTAGCTGATAAGCAAATCAGAGCTGGAGTCGATTTTTGAAAACAACTGAGTGCGAAAACATTCTATACCAGTCGGAACCAAGAACTATGGGCTATAGAGTTCTAAACGCCTACTTTTCACCCACATGTTAAAACTATCTTTCTAGATGAAGGCTTTTCTTCATGAGAAAACGAAAAGAAAAATTTAGCCTCTGGAAAGCTTTCATTTTGATAGCATGATATGGATTTTAAGACTGAAGTAATCCGATTTACCAATATCAGTGGTTCGGTCTCCGCTTGATTGCGGCTACACAACATTACAATAAGAGCACCGAACCTTTAATCTCACAAGTTTATACATACTGCACTGAAAAAGGCGAAATTGGTGTTGGGGGATCAGTAGATTTGTTTGCTGATTTATCGCCGCATGGTAAATTGGATATCCTCCGACTTTGTGGTCTGATAATCATATTTACTTCTTTCCATCAAGACAACAGCATACTATTGATTTTCTGAGGAAAAAAAAACGAGTAGTGAATTTTTTTTCCATTAGGGTAGCAAAACAAAATCTGATCCTGCTCTGATCTTTCTCGCTGATATCTGGTGAATATTGCCCACAAACAAAAGACCGACGAATATGGAATTTTAGTTTAGTAACTGCATTTAAAATGTCGTTAGCGCCCACAAGTTCTTTTAGACAGACTCAACTCCCAGTTTCATTGGTTCATCACGAATAGTGCAGACCACTGACCTGGTGAGATTATCTGACCGTAAATACGCGTTTTATTTTTCGTCCTAACAGACAACCTGTCGTTTGAATAAAGAACACTCCCTGTGAAGTTCAAGAATTCGGTAGAGAATTTTTCTTTTTGTTGAAAAATTCTAATGGTAAACAACAGTGAAAGGTATTTTTTTCTGTGAAGATAAATTAAACCGGCCGTGGCATTTTTCTTCCATGCAATTCAAAAATCTTTTCAATGCTGAATTCCGCTCTCACACTGAAATTGAAAGTTTCAATATCATGTGGTACTTGAAGATTTGGTAAAAAATTTTTTTTTTTTTTTCAAACTCTGGCCCTGCAAATCTCGACTTATAGATCACCGCAAAACGCTTTTGAAATGCATCCAAAAATCTCCCTGGAAAGTCGTTGCTAAAATCCAAAATGTAAGCTATGGCCTAAAATTTGACAAGATGTAATTTAATTGATGGCCTTGGGACAGAAAAAATTTATTTGTTATTGTTTCCAATTGCAGCATTAATAGAAGTCTTATGTGTGCGTTAGGTCTGGCTTTAATAGCGATCTCAGTAATTGTAATTATCAAGATTGATGACATAATACAAATAGACAGGTATATAATCATTTTAAATTAGCCATCTTCCATTTTTAATATAATAAAATGGTAAGTTAGCTTCCTGTCAAAATACAAGCTTTGATTCAAACTTTGAATACCTTTTTCGTACTTTTGTAATATTTGAATTGGTATTTACGTCCTATTGACTTTTGCTGATTAATGTTTGACATAATTTCCTGTACTGTAGAAAAAAAAAAGATCTTGATAGAGTATGCTCCACAGACAAGAAACTGTCGCGTTTATAAATTAATTATTTATTGTTATAAATAACATCCGTCCTATCACAAAATTGAATAATTAGATTGTGCGATAATTATTCCCAGGTCAATACTTTTCTAAACAGACAGAACGAATAAAAATTATTTGCTCGTTAACAGAGAGCCCTGAGACCTTAACAGTTTGAGAAGACAATTGTCCAGTGTTTTACAAAAAGCGTTACAAATATAAAATTATCTCCAGAGTTCTTTACTGAATCAACCATGTGGGTAGTCTTAGATGTAACGCAACTTTGTGAAGTACACGTGCTGTGTCTACAGCCCAGCCTTTTCCCGCGCTTGTGACCCAAAGGTCTCAGTTTTTTAAAATAACATACTTTACACTTTTTTTTTTTCGCGTATCGCTAAAACACACGTTTTTAATTGGCCTTTGATGACTTCATATCTCTGTCGTTAGAACCTGTCTGGGAGTTATTAACAAAAGAGTAAGTTATTTACACAAATATCGTATTGCAATGTAAACTAGGCGTGTTGAACATGTTGAAACTGAAAGGTCATCTTCAATAGAAACAATGTATGCTGACCGCACGGCTTGTTATTTTACCACTCTGCGTCGCGTCGAATGCAAAGCGATTGCAAACCCTTAGTGCCGTATATAAGTCTCAAGCTATTTTATGCCTGGAAAGGTTTTCAATCTGACAGAAATGCAATAAGGATAAACCATGGTAAGAGCAATAATTATTTGGGTTTCATCATCGACTGCAACACAAATGTATCTAACAAGTTTACTGTCTAGGTACATAAACTGACTAAAATCGCATTATCAGTTCTATAAGTTATAATAGTTTAACTTGTTATAAAATGCAACGGATTTTAGAAGGAATGTTCCTTTTGAACTGTGTTAGAGCTATAAACGTGGATTTTGTGGTTGTAAAGTGAATAGGTCATATTCAGAAGTGCGTAAATAACTAAATCGGCGTAAACTCAATCAGTTCAAGTTATTTCGCTTTTGATCACTGTCAAGTTGTTTGTTTGCATTTCTGTTTACAGCTGAGGAGAGACGAACAACTTATCGTAATAGTCTTAGGAATTTCTTCGTTTCTCAGTAGCTCAGAACAACTTTTAATTGTGTCAAATGATTCTGTGAGGGAACTTATGTTGATAAAGATGTCATGTCTTTTTAAAATCCCGCGAAGTTGTGTCAGCTGATTGCGAAGAGCTTTAATGGTGTTATTGAATTTATTTAAGTTACTTTGAATGTGACATCAAAGTTCTTCTTGATTTCTTTTCTGTGTAGCATCCAACCAAGATGTAAACTTTAGCGCTTCGATCATAAACTGCATTTCGTAACACATTTTTCCGTCCCTTTAAAAACTAATTTCGGCAGACCTGATTCATGCAGTCAACACATTTAAAGAATTTGTGTTACTCGTCAAAATTTCACCCTCGTACAAAATGTCATCTTATCAGACGGGACAGCTGGGCGCGACAAGGAAATGATTTACTATTATGTTTGAAAGATAAATGGTGCGATGTAAAATTCGCGTGGAACGTTCATCAACTTAAAGGTTTGTTTCTTGTGGGTAACGTAACCAAATGTCACGTGTTCACAATTCCCTCAGTTCGTCTACGCAGAATGCGCGAAATTGGACCCAAGCTTGACTCGTTTGACGAGACAAACAAGACGTCACGTCTTAAATATTTAAAATCTGTAAACCGCGGTAGTTCGAAATATGTTTCGCTCCTCGAGCCTCGTCATCAGTTGTCCGCCATATTAATTTATATATTTTTTTTTTTGCTAATGATAACAAAATGTAATATAATATATTTCGAACTAGCGCGGTTTAAAGATTTTATACCTTTAATTTTTTGTTGTCTTTGAGGTCATTTTAAGTGCGCCGGATGTGGATAAAAGACGTGATGTCTTGTTCTTCTCGTTAATCCAACACATTCCTGGCCTCTGCGATTCAAATTTCTCAGAAGTAGACTCGTTTGGTTTGCAGCGTACTCGGCTGCGATAAACCTACGTGCGCGTGAATTCGAGGGAATCTACATCTTCAACACATAACTTTGAACTTTCTGTATGCCATGCAAATCCTTTTTGAAAAAGTTTTTCGGCCGAGGAGGCCGTGAATATTGGCCTCGATCATATCTTAACTGCGTGTTCCCAAGCCCTGGGAACGAGGTTGCGACTACGTTCTCGCACCATAAACACGCAAAAGAAGAACTTAGCCCATATCCAGCCATATTGCACGCACGCTTAGGTAATAACCCATCTATTTTACTTTCCAGAGTGTCCAATCAGAACTCCTTCCCTTGGTGTTGACCGTGGTGGTCTGGGTCACGGTCATGGCTCTCGGAGTCCTGTCTGTTCTGTGTTGGAAGAGGTTCAGGAATCTCTCGTTCATGGAACAGTTCCTCGACTACAGACAGGTTCCAACTGCCACAGAGGCCAACGAAACTAATCAAGAAATCAGTAATGGTCATGCTGAAGAAGTCAAGGAAACATTGAACAAGGACGAAACTGACGAGAAAGGTTGGTATTACTTTATGAGGGCCTTAACAAAAGAAGATTGATTTGAGTTTTGATGACAACTCTGAGTGAGTTTCGTGTAGCTTTTGGAATGGACAGAATTAACTGACAGGCTGGATGGCTGATTGAATGAATGACTGAACGAACGAACGAACGAACGAATGAATGAACGATAGACTGGTTGGCTAGCTGGCTGGCTGGCTGACTGGCTAACTGACTGACTGACTGACTAACTGTCACTGACTGACTGACTGACTGACTGACTGACTGGCTCACTGGCTCACTGGCTGGCTGACTGACTAACTGACCGACCGACTAGGTGGCTGGCTGATTGACTGACTAGCTGACTGCCTGACGGACGCACGGACGCAAGGACGCACGGTACGGACGCACGGACCCCGAGATGGACTGACACTAATAGACTGAGTTATTTAAACCGTCTATTGTTCCTTTGTCAAGATACCACAGAGAAGAAGCGGAAGCCTCCTCCTCGGCAATACCCTTCCCAAGCCCCTCCTCCATGGATTCCTAAACCGGAAGTTAGTGTGGTTTCTGTTCAACCCCAAGACTCCTCAATTAAGGATGATGACGATATTCCGTATTCCAGCTCTGACGAGGAACCAATACCGGTAATGATATCATGTGCATTTTAAATACCTTCAACTTCTTCCTTGAGACAAAGGAAAAAACAAAGTATACAGAGCAGCAGACACAAATAGAGACGCTTCCTCATTCAGATTTCATCCAGCTTCCAATAAGATGTAATGCCATAAAAGATAGGTCTGCAGTCCGGGGAGATCTGACACAACCAACTACCAAAGGCTAGTACGTTTCAACGTTTATTTAGCCTCTAATACCTTAACAATTCAGCGAAAAGCTGTAGAACGAGCTCTAACAACGAAACAAAAGCTGTTCACTTTATTTTAAATTGTGGGAGGCGCGATGACCTCATGGTTAGTGCGCTCGACTCCGGAGCGAACGGTCCGGGTTCGAGCCCTGCCCAGGGACACTGTGTTGTGTTCTTGGGCAAGACATTTTACTCTCACAGTGCCTCTCTCTACCCAGGTGTATAAATGGGTGCCGGCGAATTTAATGTTGGGGGTAACCCTGCGATGGACTGCATCCCATCCAGGGATGAGTAGAAATACTCCTAGTCGCTTCATGCTACTGAAACCTGGATAAGCTCCGGCCTGATAAGCCACTTGGTTCGTATACAGACAACCTTTTACCTTATGTTAAATTCGCTCGATCCTGGTAAATATGAACTGATTCCAGTTGTTCCAAGTTTTCCTCTGTTTCAGTCCCCAGCGACTCGGGAAACTATGACGCCTTACGATCTGTCGGATTCAGGCCCCGCGGAGCGCTACATTCCTCCAAGCGAGGCAGACTTTCTTGGCCGAGTGTACTTTTCGCTTCAATTTGACCCTGTCAGGTGAGGCACAATCTTCATTTGATCATCATGTAATAATTATCACATGGTGTATAGTTTATAAGCCTACGTTTTTT